AGCCCGACGTGTGGGGCTCGATTCCAGGACCCTGGGATCATGACCTGAGCCGAAGGCAGACGCTTAACGACTGAGCCACCCAGGCACCCCTGTCCATTCACATGTTGATGGACATCTGGGCTCTTTCCATAGTTTGGCTATTGTGGACATTGCTCTATAAACACTGGGGTACTTGGGCCCCTTCAGATCACTATATTTGTATCTTTGGGGTAGATCCCTAGTAGTGAAATTGCTAGGTTGTAGGGTAGCTCTATTTTCAACTTTTTGAGGAACAGGGAGTTGGAGGAAATTATTGCCAAATCACCTCCCTGGAAACATTTCCACACTTGTAAAAAATCACCTGGGCCCTATCCTTTCCACAGATTTCCCTGTCAGGGGCTCCTGGCTCCTCAGATCTTTCAGGTCAGAGTGTTCCTGGTCCACTGAAAGCCAGGGTAGCTCTTAGTTCACTGCAGCATTGAATATCTCCGCGGTGTGTTGCAGATGGTGGAGTTCATGCAGCGCTGTGCCTCACACATGCAGGCCATCATACAGGGTTTCTCTTATGACCTCCTGAAGAAGATCGACTCCCCTCAGCGGCTCATCTGTGGCCCACCCCGGTTTGGCGGTCTCATACAGGGGTGAGTGCTGCCTTGAGCAGAGTGGGATATTTGGCATCACCCCAGCCTTCCTTGTAGGAGCCCTGCAACGTGGGCCACCCAGGTTCCTCCACGTTGGTCCCATCTGGCATCTGGCCCACTCTAAGCGGTGAACTCTGACAGAGAAGATGTGGCCGCTGCAGAAGTGGCCAGAGGAGCACCTTCGGCGGCCCTGCCCCCATGCAGGAATGTGGGGGCTTGGGCGGGGAAATGAGTTATGGGCTCTAGTGGGAACCACCCTGAGGTTAGTGGTTAACAAAGAACTTTTCAGGTCTGAGGAGCTCAGCAGAAAACTCCTGCTCAGTAGAGCAGCCAACTGACCTTTGTGTCATCTCCCAAAGCATGGAAAGAAGGCTCCTTTATTCCCAAGGTTGCAAAACACGAATGTTTAATTTACCTTCCTCAGGCTGTTTTAAGCTGGTGTGAGAGATCTGCTGCTAGCTGGGTGGGCAGCCTCCCTGCCCCCATCACTGGAGGTGGGCCTCAGGCTTCTTTCCATGCTCAACTACCTAGCTCTTTTAAATTCTTAGGGCTTTATTGACTTAGGGTTTGTATGCACAGAATCCTTTCCATTTTAATTTTCTCTGATGGCATGACTTTCTGTAATCAGGGTCTCTAGACTTGTCACACCCTCATGGTCTCTCTCTTTCTGTCCTGCCCTGAGCAAGTCCTGGTTTTCTTCCGATGAGCTGGATATCACTGGCTTCTCAGGAAAGATGAGTTAATTCCCTTGAGGACTAGTTACTCCTAACTGCTCCTCTTGCTGCCACTCTTGTGGGTCAGCATCTAGAACAACCTTTTATTTTTTTTATTTTTTAAAGATTATTTATTTATTTATTTGACAGAGAGACAGCGAGAGAGGGAACACAAACGGAGTGGGAGAGGGAGAAGCAGACTCCCCGCTGAGCAGGGAGCCCGATG